CGTGCGACAGGGCGGCGGCGGCGGCGGCGGCGGCGGAGGGGGAGTTCGGGGAGCTCCAGCGGCCCTCGCACGGGGCTTCCGCGCCGTCGCAGACGATGCGGTCCACGACCCGCAGCAGCAGCTGGTCGGAGACCTCCTCCTCGCCGATGTCTCTGATTGGTTGATTGGTTGATTGGTTGATTGGTGATCCATCCCGCAAGAAACACATAGAAACGAGGTAAGAATTTGGTGCAGAGTTCAAACGACAGAGGGATGTCTGGGGGCGACGGGGGGGGGGTTAACTCGACTCGGAATCAGCTTGACTGCGTGTCCCGGAAAACGTATATGTATTAAAAAAAACTAGGCATGTTTTGTTTGGTTTCGCGAAAACTAAACTGTAAGAAAGAACACACAAAATGAAGGTGCCTCGCTCCTCCTGGGCTAGGCTGCGGACGCGGACGTTGCAGCGACTGTCTCTGAAAATTCCTCCCTCGATTTCCAGATAGCCGCGGCGCTCTCATTGTGTGTACGCACATTCCATACCGTTGAAACGGAACAAGAAAGACGCGTGCTCCAGACAAATCACTTTGTATTGTCGTTTTGTCCAGACAGGCGTCCCATGGTTATCACTAAAAAAAGAAAATGGAACACAGCATCTAAACGCCGCTTCGGCACGACACTAAGGCCAAGAAAAACGTTACAAAACAAGAGAGTAGCATGTCCCGATCCATGGACTATCACCAAAAAAGTGCAGCACAGCATCGAAAAAATATTGTTCAAGTCAAGATAAACGATACAAAAATCAACAGAGCAGCATGTCCCCTGCCATAAACCACACAAAGAAAAAAAGGAAAACAGAATCGACGCTGAAGTTAATAAAAACGTTACAAATCAAGAAGGTAATAGCAGGTTGCAGCAACGTTGCCCGCCACTCACTCTCGGGTGTTCGCTCGGACGAACAGCAGCGCGCTCAGGTATCCCGCCAGTCCGTTGAGAACGTCGTGTGATCGGAGCTCGTCCTCGGACAGGGCTGCCGAAACAAGAGAGCAACACCAAACAACAAACACAGAGAGTGCTGAACTCATCTCGCATTAAAAATTCAAGGCGAAGTACCGCAGGAGGGGAGGGTAGAGAGAGGCTCTTCTGTGTGACCACGGGTTGGAATAAACGGCACTAGTGCTGTGAGCGCTGATTTGAAGTGAAGAACAAAAAAAAAAAAAAAACACACATGGATTCATCGCTAACTTATGCTCGACTCTGTACAGTATCTATCTGTGGAAACACAGATAACGCTTCCCCTAACATTTCGTGAAGCTACGTACCACACCCACGACAAACGTCGGTCCGGGGTGTGTGTGCTACTGCTGCAATCCCAAGAAAAGGCAACGACGAAAAAAAAAAAAAAAAAAGAACACCAGAACAACTACCCGCTCGTCCACAACTGCTGTGCCCCCGGCACACGACTAGTTTCATTGCTCATTTATCCTGGACCCCTATTATCCGTGGATAGCGATGGATTCGTAGTGTGGTATGGCAAGAATAAACATTAAAGCACACACACACGTGGGCATGGATTCGTTGTGATCACGTGGGGATGAATTCGTTGTGACGTAAGGAAGAAAAAACAAAACGTCAAAGCACACACACACGTGGGGAGCGCACAAAAAAAAAATACAGCAAACGCCGACAAGGGAGACAAGTACCTTCTACACTCGTCAACGCAAACAACAGCTACGCGTTGTCACGCTGTTGTAGGAAAGGGGGTGCTGCTGCAACGTTAACGTTCGTAAGAGAACGGCTGGCATGAAAGGCGCCCATCATTTCCGGTGATGGTTGTCGTAGAGTTCACATGGCGACTTGGGAACCTGATAGCTTATAGCATGGAGGTTCAAGTTTGTCGAAACCTACGCACATCTTGAAACCGGGTCGTTATTAAAAAACATACCTCAAGTACATTCGCATGGTAACATAGCGGTTCGTTAAACCTACAGACGAAACAATGGCCCCGGGGTTGCGCAAACAAGCACAGGAGGTTCCGTGGCGGTGGTAGTGATAAATAGTGTGTGCGGGACGACCTGACAATGCAGCTATAACGGACCCTGCGAGAGTATATAGGGACTCTGAGGTTGCGCAAACCAAGCGTAGGAGGTTTTACAGCAGTGATGGCGGTGCTAGTGGTGGTGGTGGTGGTGGTGGTGGTGGAGCATAGTGTGTGTGGGATGGACTGACAACGTAGCTGGAAACAAAGGACTGGGGTTGGCGCAAACGTCTCCGGTGGTGGTGTTGGTGGTGGGTCGTCGGTGTATGCGGAAGGAAGGGATTGCGTTCTTTCGTACCAAGCTCTTCCATTGCCGCAACCTCGCGGGCGTGTCGCCGGCACCGCGCCATGTCTCCCGTGCGCTGTGCGACCGCCGCCCCAACCGCGTGGACCCCGGCCGCGCCAGTCAGGAACGTGAAGCCCTGCGGAGAGACAACAAAAACGGGAAGCAGACAAAAAAAATAAAAAACATACGGAAAATGCAATAGGTGGGCATCAAACAAACACACAAATACCGCTGGTGTGTCTATTAATACACCAATGTACTAAATGCCATGGAGCTCTCGTGAGGGCAAGGCGAAGACGATACGAAATCCTTCTGAAAAACAAAACAGCAAGGAGATATACAATCATGGCAACACAACACCTCAACACCGCTGCGGCGTTTCTAGTAAGACATTCCTTAACCCCAGCTGCACCAACACACTAGAAAAATAAAACTACAATGAGAGATTCTTTCTCATTTTTGCTTGGATACAAAGAGTTGCCTCGTGTACCGTATATGACACAAGATAACACACCCCCTGGACCGATTTTCAAAGCTCGATTACTCCACGACGAAGAGGATGCATAAACGAAACAATACGTTTTCGAACAGCTCTCGATGAGACGGTTCCAACGCCGCCGTTTTCGGCGCTGTGACTCTTCCTGCTGTTGAGAAATTGAGCTTTGAAAATCGGCCAAGGGGGTGTGTTATCTTGTGTCATATACGGTAGCCAAGTCTGTAAAGGCCCGCCACACATGACAAGAAAAAACAGACGAGAAAACGGTAAAAAACCGGAACACAAGTCGTTGTGGTTAGGCCTGTAAGCTCATTCATGGGAGCAATGCAGCAACAGCAACATCAACATCAACAGCAACAGCAACATCAACATCAACAATAACAATAACAACAACATTAACAACAACAACAACGACAACAACATCATCAACAACAACAACATCAACAACAATGACAACAACGGCAACGATGACCTTGCCTGGTTCGCGGCCCCACGCTTGGCCACCTGCTTGTCCAAACACGCCTGAGCAGCATCCAGGTAAGCGGTCGCAAGCTCCAGAGGGCAAGAGAACCCAGCAAGCTGTTATTTTCATGAATTATTTTTTCACATGCGAAAGAAGCAAAATTACGGATACAAGCACATGTCGGTGTGTCTGCTGGTGCGATCCCTTTGGTGTACCTTCTCGAATGGTCACTTCTTGATGCTCGTTCATGTTTGGATTAGCGATCCCTTCGGTGCCACTTCTCCAGTGTTCACTTCTTGTTGCTCCCTTCGGCGCAATTTCTCCAATGGTCAACACTTACTGTTGTTCGTTCACATTTTTCGTGCGAAACACGACAACAACAAAAATTACCACGTATGGTTCTCGGTGCTATCATGCCGTTCTATGGTGTTTCACACGGTAGTCTGCTTTCGTTGTCAAAGTTATCAAAAAGTGCTCTTGGGTATTGGCAACATCTTGGTGTCTAGAGAGAACAAAACGAAAGACCATCGGGGCCTTATCTACTCCGTCCTATTTTTTTATGTTGTGTTCACCACTTCGGCGCAACAAATGGTTGATGCGGAAGTCCCTTGAACAACTTGTTTCGCATCCCTACTGTTACCCTATTCCTTTACTGCCACCTAAAACCCCTCCGACTGATGTGAGAGCTCACTGCACCGTGGATCATGCCATCCTGGGTTGGCCAGTACTGGAGACGTTGTAGCGCAAGCTATTAATAGTGCGTGTGACACCGAGATGTTTGCTGCTCTCACCACACAGCAGGGGGGTTGCCAAACAGCACAACCAACAGCCAGGGGGGGTAGCGAGCACTGCACTGCACAATATCGCAGGATCCTAGGAAGCAGGTGCCGCGGAGTGCTTGCGTGATCGGAGCTCGTTTGCCCAGGAAGCGCACACGTGCCGGAGAAATTCAAGTGACCTAAGGAAGAAGTACTACTTAAAGCAACTCAAAACAGCTGAGGAACGTGTCGTTTCGTTTAATAAGTTGGATCTATTCGGCAAATCAGCATCACCAAAAACCATCCATTCACGGAAGGAGTCCCATGCTGGGCTCGTCGAAATCGACGAACAACAATAATAGCAACAACAATGCGCAGAGTGACAGCTTGAACTATCAAAGCAAAAACAGCCCGATCATTCACGGAGACAATCAGATTCCAGCCAAGGAAAAAATAAAAACATGCATCATTGAAATCCCCCCAAAGCCCGCCCACTCCTCACAAAAAGCGAGGCCACATACAGAAGAAGGAGATCACTCTGTGCGAACGGAAGCGCAATGTCCGCGGTGATGGTGTTGTGTCGTTTCTCTCACCTGACCCGCTCGCCCAGCCACACCGAATCCAATCCCTCTGGAGTGGAGCACCAGGAATAGGAGGCAGTAGCCCGCCGTCCCTGTTTAGGCGGGACAATAAAGGGTATGCATACGAAATCGAATTCTTACACGCGCGTGCATGATGATCATGAGTGAACCCACGCACCCCGTCCCGATGAATAGCCAGGCGAAGATCGCAGCAATAACTGGGGCAAAGAAGTGGGCTGAAAAGGCGGGAAGTGATGATATCGATATAATAGATAGATATTTGTAGGGCACAGGGAAAACATTGTTCAGCCACCACTTTCCCACATTCTCTATGTACGTTAGCGCGGAACGTGTCTGAAGACTACGCTTCGAATGAATGTAGTGTGTGGATTTCTCCCCGCGGACATGCGTTAAAAAGCGGTGCGTCATGACGGCGGATCGATGTAGCACTCGCGGCCTCTTCTGCCGCTAAGGGGATGTATGTTAAGGTTGCCCACTCTGTTGGAAATCCTTCACCCCCTTCCGCAGTTACGCCTGCCCCCTCTCAATCGAGTAATGAAAGCAGCATGTCTAGGGGGGAGGGGGGGCGGGGACGCGACCACTTGCACTCAGACATTTATTTGCGGCAGCAGCTTGCGGCCCACTGAACGCGCCGCGCGTCCGGCGAGCGTGTGGAGGCCCGACGGAACAACCGGAGAGCAGGAGTCGGAACAGGAACCGTTATTATTCGAGATTTCAACGACGACAACCAACGTAGACTGTCTAAAATTGGCTGCAGCTGTATTGTATGATAGTAACACCCATGCCAGTACAATGTATTCTTCAAGCAAACACGGGAACACTCAAGGCGGGCGGTCGATCGGTCCCACTGCCTCTCTTTCGGCCATGTTTTTGTCCCCGTATCGTTGGCGTGGGACGGAGAAAGTGTCGTCGCGCAGGGACGACTCTGCCGTGAAATAACAACGCGAGACCGCGCAAATAGTCTATCTGTTTCGGTCCGAGAGATGATTGTAATATATAGCTCGAATGGGTAGTCTTTCTGTGTGTGTTTATATTATTCCTTAATATAGCTCCGGTGCCGAGCTTTCGCCCATCGGTGAATCTATCGAACACATCGGTGTGGGGTGCGACGTCCTCACAACCATTTACTTCACGGAGAAGCGTTCCAGCGCCAACAGAGGCATCCCTGTTATGGCCTTCGCTGGCTCTCTCTCAGGGTGCACCCGTGTCTCCATGGTTTCGCCGCGGTATGCATCGCCTACAATAGACAAAACAGCTGCTGCTGCTGCTGCTGCTGCTGCTGCTGTTCCCTGTAGTCTGTGCTCATGATGATTCCCCGCAATGGCAAACCCACACAATTAACCCGGGTTTACTGAAGAAAGAGGCCGATGTTGTTGTTCGCTACGTACGCACCGGTGTAGACGGAGAAGTCTCTGGACCTGGCCGCGTCCACCGGGGGTGCTTCTCGGAGTATCCGCTGGAGGGAGAGCCGCAGTGCGGAGTGGATCAGCTCATCTTCGAACGCATCCGCCTTTCGAGCCTTGCTGCTCTTTCTCTCCTTCTTGTTCACCGCTGCTCCGCCTACTTGGAAGTCTCGTATCTCGTTGTCGATATATCTCAAAGCCATGCCTGCGGCGGGGGAGGTGTGATTGTCGTTGTCAGGGAGATCTGCGCTGTACCGAGAGCTGCTGGTGCTGCTGCTGCTGCTACGGCTGTAATTCGTTCGAACATGTGGCCGATCTTTCCCCCCCTGCCTCGCGCAAAAATATGTTCAGTTTACGCGGCACACAGGCATGCTTCAACATGCGAAAATTGGTTCAGAGAAGGATATCACCGGGAGGGTCCGCCACCCGACACCACAACCTGTACGCCACGAAGCACTGCGTGCCCAGGTTCCTCTTTCTCACCAGTTCTTTGCTGATTGCCTCTGTCTGTCAAAGGCACACACTGGTCGGAAAAAGTTGTTCCTTGTGTTCGCTTCCTGTGTGCAAGCAACACCAGCATGCCAAGATCGGGGTAGGAGGGTCATTCGTTCGCAATCGCGTCCCCCCCGCCGCGCTGGCTTCCCGGTTTCTCAGGCGTTGCTCGTTGCTTTGGCGACCCAACCTGGCCATCTGGGACATACACATGGCCCCATTTTCGCACGTATGGTTCTCGTGGGCCGCTCTCGTGGCTGTGGGAGATGCCTCATTCGGAGACCGGAGCTGGCTGTACATCGACTGCCTCGACAAGTGAGTGAGCACATAATGATCCATCCGATGCACCCATCCGCTGCATCCGCTGTTGTGTACTACTGCGGCAGCAGTATCGCTCAGCCGTTGTCGTGCTCTCTTACTGACTACTGCTTCTGCTGTAGCAAAGCGACTCCAGCTGGGTGGGGGTGCTGGGTACCGGTGCTGGCGCTTGTGCTGGAGATGTTGCCGCTGCGTTTTGATTGCATGGGTCTGTGTGAAGCGCGGCGTTTCCAGCCCTCTTCGCCCAACATACCGTACCCCCGGCCGTCTCTTTGATTGTAGAACTCCCACCGGAAACCTAACGCTACTGCTGTAGCTGATAGCTGTACGCAAACTATGTAGCTGCGTCCGTCGCTTGTGTCGAGACATGTCCCTGTCGTGTTCTGCCGCCGTCTTCTCTCTGCCGCCGTCTTCGCTGCGGCTGGTCCGCTACCGCGACGCAACTGCCGTATCGATTGGACAACTACTCGCTGAGAATTCGAATGACATCATGACATCACCTGCCACATGTCCGCACTTCCCCTGTAACCAGATGTACACGGCAACTCGCTCACACACATGGGCGGTTCGGATTTGAAATGTCTGAAAGCAGTAGACCCCTCTGACGACAATAGGCTCAGACAACGCAAAATTACGACCTCGGCGCCAATAAAACTTACTCCATAGAATTCATTCTCGACACCAATTCGGGGAGGAGAGAAGCCAAGCAAAGGGATGCCGTAATGGTAAGCGACGGGCCTCACTCACTCAAGCTTGATCTTCCGATTCGATGTATGACCCTACAAGCAATTGAATTTATGATCTAATTAGACTAAGTGCGCAAAGTTGACATTCTTCGTCGACTTGGCTCCGTCCTCTCGAGGATGCGTGGTCAATGGTCTAGCAGCTACGGAACGCAAAACGTGAGCACCCTCCCCCAACCATGGCATATTTGGTTCGGCACAGCAAGCGCAAGGAAGTGACCAGCTTCTTGTTGATCCCTGTGAAACGTAGCTTGGGCCGGCGGCTTATCGCTCCGTCCCGGCGTTGGAGGGATGCGAGGTCAAAGCTCCAACGACTACGGCATGCGTTAACATGAGCACCCCCCCTCCCGCCTACCTCTCGCCAATAACAGTTGCGTGGACAAGCTCTGCGGGATTAAATACGTCCGCGAGGACCAGGACCCGGAGCTGAAGTCATCAGAGGTGGCGCGGCGGGATCGCCTCCGCCGCCGGCTGGACGAACACCTGACCCAGCTCCAAACTCTGCAACAACAACAAAAAGAGGAACAGCAGCAGCGGAGTGGGCCAACGACCGCAGCGGAAAAGACGGGTGCCTCTGGGCTTCGGCGACGGCTCGAGGAAGGTGCTGGAGAAGCTAGTAGGGAGGGGCGAGGGACAGCTCATAGAGACCACCTCCCCCAACGGCAGCCCCCCGCGGGTAGCGGGGCCGCAGCGGTAGGCTTCGGTAACGGTAGCGGTAGCGGCGGAGACGGGGCCGAGGAGGGCGTAGGCGCCCTCGGCGGTGGAGCGGAATGGGCGGACGGCGGCCGAAGAGCGTTGTCGGCGGTGCAAGACGCGACGGGGGGGGAGGGCAAGGCAGGGGCGGTGGGCGGGTCTAGCGCTGCGTCTGTCGCGGTGGTGGACAGGTATGTCCACAACCCGCCGTGGCATCTGCGGGTGATGGGCTGGGATTGCGAGTCGGAGTGCAAGCACACGTGCATGAACCTGCACGTGGAATCGAGGCTCGCGGCTGGGGGAGACATCTGGCAGTACTACGGGAAGTGGCCTTTCAGGTGAGGTTTACGGGGGCAGGGAGAGAGGGGGGGGGCTGGGGGTGGGTGGGTAGGCCGACAGGGAAGGAGTGCAGGAATGAGGGAGAAATAGAGAGGGAGAGAGAGACAGACACACACAGAGAGAGAGAGAGAGAGAGAGAGAGAGAGAGAGAGAGAGAGAGACACAGACAGACAGACAGACACAGAGAGAGAGACAGAGAGAGAGAGACAGACACAGACATAGACAGAGGGAGGAGGAAGTAGGAGAGAGAGCAACGACCACAACCAATACAACGACTACGAAGATGAAAGCTGAAAATGTTACGACATCAAAACAGTCGGCGGTGCGCACTCTCCAACACATGCTGCAGTTTGTAAATTCGTGGATCGATGCCCCTCCCCCCCTCCCAGCGGCGCACTTAACGTCTAACTTCCCCCTCTAACATTTTGAGCCACCTTTAGCAAAGGAGTAGGAAGGAACGATTTGCCATCGGTGATCGGTCCTGTGGGAACAATGCTCCGTCCTCTCGACAACGTGTGGTTAATGGTCTAACCGCTCGCTACGGCATGCAAAACATGGGTACCCCCCCCCCCACTTGCATCGTGCTGCTGTCTATTCGACGATGACGCTTCGCGGTCGTGGCGGCTGGTTTCTCAAGACGGGTGTGGGGTATCCAGGAGCTGTTTTCTTCCCTCTTCTCCGCCGGTAACGGCCTCCCTCATCTGTACCACCTCCTGCTTTCTCCCGGTAAGAGCTGCTTCAAACCCTTCAAAGGGGGGATGCATTCGAAGTAGTTCGGTTTGTACCTTGCAAAATACTTCCGATCTGGCGCAGCAGTCAGACGCACTTAAGTCACTTGTGGTACTCTATCTCGCCAAAGAGGCAAGAAAAGCGAAAGGTGATGCCGTGATACATACCACATCAGGGCTTCACAGTCCCGTGGGGGGAGGGGAGGGGGGGCGTACTCATTTGTTGCTTGCCTTAGTCATTTGACCATTGACCACGCGTCCCTTTCGAGACGGGGCACCGTTCCTACCCCTACTAGAGACACCACCAACATTTGGGAGCTCTTTGCGTTTCTGCCACAAACTACATAAAAAATTTCTTGCACATCTTATCCCCGTCCTCTAGGGCCTCTTGTGCCCACCATCTATCCCCAATTATCGCGATCGTTTTTTCGCTGTTGTCTAATTTACCAAACTTGTCCATGTCACACCCTCTCTGTCTCATTTCCTCCTCGAGATCCTCTCTTTCCTTCCTGTACAACTCACACTCCCCAACTATGTGGGGTCTACTCTCCTCCGATTTGCCACATGGACATGTGTGTCTATCCTCCTCCGGCCAGAAAGACGGCCTTTTGACTTCCCTG